ATCACCTACGACCGGCGTCCCATACCAGCCGCAGCGGATCGCCTGCCCCACATATGTGTTCTACGGTACCCGCTCGACAAGCGTGGTCTTCTGGTGTCATCACACCTTAACCTTGGACCGTTCCTCTCGTCACACACCAGGCACGCAGGACTATCTTGCCGATCCACAGGACGTTGCGACCCTCACAGCGGCGCTGAGGGCATCCGGCAACTACCTGGGGTCGACATCGCTTGAAGGCTATGCGCACATGGGTTCGTAAAACCACCTGCCGATCCCCGGTCAGGCCTTGGCATTAACTCTCTCCGCCTGACCAGATTTCACGTGGACCATACAACCGGGCTTGTATGCACAAGTGAACCGCATCCTCGCGCAACACGCCCACTAACTTGCGCGACACTGGACCCAACCTCAGAGCTCGAGGGCAGGCGCTTGTTTTGGCTTGGGTGCAGTGTGACGAAGAAGACAAAGAGATTACCATGTGTTTGCTCGAAAAACAGCGTGGCTTCAACTTCAGCGACTCCAATTCTGGTTGGTTGGTCACACAAGCGCTATTGGTTGGGGTGGGTGTGGGGTGGCGCAAACTCTCACCACGCCATGAAGCCGCAGACAAGAAAAAAGTAAGAACTGACTTTTGTCGTTCGATCCGGACCAACAAAAGAGAGAAGACGAAGAAGATGGAAGGAAGAGTCAATGAGAGTGACGAAGTGGCGGCGTACCGCCACCACGACGATGATGAAGACTACGACGAGGAGGAAGTGGCGGGGTTGTACTGGTTGCCGGCGGAGCTGTGGGCCATGGTGTGCGAATACCTGGGCACGGGCGACCTCGCCCGGCTGAGCACCACGTGCTGGACCCTGCGCTCGCACGCCCTCGCCAAAGTGCGCCACCACACCTTCACCCCCTCGGTACCCCCCCCACCATACCCCCCCAAATATGGCCATATTATCGCAATTAGCAGAAAAAAATTGTTTCATTTATTTTACAATAGAAATTAATATTAAAAAATGTTGCGGAAACATTGCAGGGCTGTTCACGCGGCGAAGCAGCATGCGGCAGGCGTTGGCGTTTGCTGCGACTTGGCCGGCCCTCGAGTCGCTCGCGCTCTCCGCCTGGGACGCGTTCCCTGATACCGTGCGTACCCGTTGGCTCCTTGCACGAACCATCAATCATCACAACCATCATAACCAACCTGTCTGTGCCTAACCACACTTCCCGTTGATCTGAGCTCAGCTGGTGGCTCACTTGCCGGAGGCGCTGGAGGGCCTGGACCTGAGCTACACCTCCATCACCAACCGTGGTACCCACCACGCACTCACAGGCGTAAACTGCATCACATACCATCTGACGAATCGATGGTGCGTGTGCGTGTGCGGTCGTGCGTGTGCGTGTGCGTGTGCATGTGCCGACCAGGACTGGGTCGACTGCCGGTGGGCCTCACGCGCTTGGATCTCAGCGGGACGCAAGTCACCGGCGCCGGTCTCCGCGCTTTGAGCGCGCTCAGCTCGCTGCGCGACCTCAAGCTCGCTGGCATCGTTGGCCTCTCCGCTCGACACCTCCAGGTTTCATCACCTTTTCTGTTCAACTTTCCAATCAGGCTTTCTTGTTTGCTGATCAGCCCAGTGGCGGTCTGGACGAAAACCAACAAACACAAACGGCAGGCGTTACCGGCCAGCGTGGAAGTTCTCGACCTTTCCAATTGCTCGGGACCCTTCTCGGAGAAAGAACTCGGTGCGCAATGCCCCCAGGGTGGAGTTGGGCGGACTGGTTTTCTGTGAGAACCTCATATATTTGTTTGATGAGTGCAGGTACCGCCGATTGCCACTTCGGCGGCAGCAACTGCGGACTGTCCGTGCCCCGAATGATGTGGCCGCCGGCTCTGCGTGAGCTCAAGCTCACCGGCGCCCACCTGTCTCTCGCCCTCCTCTATGGTGACGCATCACACCCCCCATGCGCCAGTTCCTTTACCGCGCTTAGCTGACGATGGTTGCATGGTCGAATGGTTGATGGTGATGACTCGTTGGAACGTTGAAGGGATGCCGACGACGTTGGAGAGCCTCGACATCTCGCGTTGCACTATGTGGCCAGTTCCAGTGGACATGGATGCGTGTCTTCCGCGCCTGCAGACGCTTCGAGCGGATGGCGCTGCGCTCCACTATCGAGCGTACTACGCCTACAGCAAGACCTACGTGTGGTGCGCGCAAGATTGCCTCTTCACATCGAACTTTTGTGAGTTACTGCCGCTCCGTACTGATACCACAACAACAACAACAACAACAACAACAACAACAACAACAACAACAACAACAACAACAACAACAACAACAACAACAACAACAACAACAACAACAACAACAACAACAACAACAACAACAACAACAACAACAACAACAACAACAACAACAACAACAACAACAACAACAACAACAACAACAACAACAACAACAACAACAACAACAACAACAACAACAACAACAACAACAACAACAACAACAACAACAACAACAACAACGGGGGCTTGTGTTGTTGGACCTTGTCGCCGCCAGGAACCTTCCGTCGGGTCTCAAGTCGCTGTCGCTGGCCAACGTGCCCCACCTCGCCAACCCGACGGACTGGCAGTTGGCGTTCCTGCCGGCGTCGATCACCTCGCTTGATCTCTCCATCACTGATATCATCCAGGTACCTTGGCTCCAAAGGGTGTTCTGATCAATCACAAGAATAACTTATGTTGTGCTATTGTGGTGTGGTGTGGTTGCCTGTGCGTGTGCATGCGTCGCGTGTGTGCGTGTGTATGTGTCCAGGGCCAATACTCGGGAATCAGGGAAACTACGGCTGTCTGGTTCGATACGCTTCCCAAGCGGCTCCCGCACCTGCGTCTGCTCAATCTCACCAAGCTGTGGGGTGGCGCAAACCCTCAATGCCTTGAGGTTGTCATCCTCTGCATTTTGTGTCGTTCGGGCGTTGCGTGTGATGCTATGACCTCGTGTGGCTGACACTCTGGGTGATGCGGCAGGTCATGCAAGAGAGCAACGTGAGGGTCATTTTTCATCCGCCCACGTACCAACTCCGGCCGGCTCCTCCGGAACCCGCCCAACAGGCTCCAGGTGCGAACTAGTGCGTGCAGGTTGGGGTTGCCTGTGCACGTGTTATTAACGATGGTGTCAAATGCCAATGGTGTAGATCCGGTACCTCGAGAGCAGGACCCCAAGTGGGTCGACTTTGTCAAGCTGTGCGCGGAAGAGCAGCGGCGGATCACCTGGCACGATCTGCCTGTGGAGGACGACGACCACGATGACTGCGACAACAAAGGCAACCAGGGCGATGCTGCCTACGATGACGAACAGGATGGCAACGAAGATGACGAACAAGGCAGCCTCCTCTTCATGGGCTTCTAACGCTGTCAGAAAACAATCATTGTGGTGCTCCCATCATGACCACGACAACACCAAAGGCGACCAGAGCGATGAGGCCGATGACGAGGGCGACGACGAGCAGACTGACGGCGATGACGAACAGGGCAGTCTCCTCTTCATGGGCCTCCGATAGGCGTCCGTAGGTATCACAGGCACCTGCAGCATTCCGTGCATTCCTCGTTTATGACTTTTAGGGAAGCCCATGACGACACTAAACTAAGCCCCTATCTTGCTATCCATTCGGCAGTAACCATCAACAGTTGCTTACAAAGGTAACGCGAGCACAATAACGTGCATCACAGACTTGATGATATGCGCTCTTTGCAAATTTAGATTTTTAATTCCTTGTTTTTTGTGATTAATAGGTTTCTTGAATTGAAGGAAGGATGTTGTTGGCGCCCCCGGGGAAGGTGGTCCCATCCACCGGTGCCTCGCCCATAGCTGCATCGCCATGGATGGCGGCAACCAATTTTGCTCTTGCGGGCGCGAAGCTGAAGAGATCCCTCAAGCCGAAGGATCATCTCTTCGATTTGGAGAACATGAAGCCCGAAGAGACTATCCTGCGCATTGGCGACAGCATCTCCCTCTTCTCCATCGAAGGCAACGGCTACGTGTCCTCTGAAGGGTACACTAGATGGCGCTACTTGTCCCATTTATTTTGTTTTTATATTTAGATTTAAATCTAATTTAATCATGGTGTGGCGCGTGTACAGATTCATCGACAGCGACTGCCAGATCTCGACCATTGGGCAAGACAAGCGCATCCCAGACCACTTCTCTGGTACACTTTGACTAAAAGTTTGCGCACAAACGCACGCACACGTGCACCACCGCACATGCACCGCACGAGAGCGCACGAAGTGCTGATTCTATCGAGTGTTGTGCCCTATGAAGACTGCGTTTTCAGGATCTGTCCACGCAACAAGTACGATGCGCACACGGCGCTGAACGATCAGCTCGACGCGGTGAGCCGCACGCGTGCGTCCATCGGCTCGCGTCAGTTCGACCCCGACCCCGAAGCCGTGCACCTCGAGAAGAAACTGCTTCAGCTCAAGGTGCTGCTCGTCGCTAGGCGAACCTGTCAAGTGTAAGTGCTCACATCTCGCGTTCTACGCAAAACGCACCAGAAACACGAAGTGGAGGAGGAGAGCGAGAATCACGCCGAGTTCGGCCGGCTCGCGGGCAACACACTCTCCTACGGCCAGACCGTGCAACTGCTGCACGTCAAGAGCAACAAGTTTGTCACCGTGACATCCAAGGAGATCGCCGAAATCGAGACACATTGCCTGCGCGTGTACCTGGACCCCATGGGCAACGAGGGATCCTGGTTCACCCTCCTCCCTCGCTTCAAGACCATGGCCGAAGGCGAGAACGTACGCGACTGCTCCGCACAGTCTCTGCCCTTTGACCAGCTCTCACCGTATCGTCGTGCCATGATTGGGCTGTGTGTGTCGTGTGTGTGTCGTGTGTGTGTCGTGTGTGTCGTGTGTGTGCGTGTGCATGTGCGTGCGTGTGCGTGTGTCATTTTGCAGATTCACTTGGGAGATCAAATCATTTTGGAGTCCAAGTGCTACAACTCCATCTTCCTGCACGTGAGCAAGGAGACCATGTACCAGAAGCGCGAGGTCAACGCCACGACCGAGAAGAGCAGCTGGCGCGTGATCCCCTTCGCGCCCTTCGTGCCCGAGTCCGACTCGTTCCTCAAGGCCGGCGACGTCATCCGCATGTTCCACAAGGAGGCCGAGGGCTATCTCACCAACGAGCTGCCCGACGACGACTTTGTCGACGAGGACGCCGAGAAGGAAAAGCCCACGGCCCCCCCGACCCACAGAAGGACGAGGGTACGAGCTCACCCTTCCGCCTCCTGTCTGCGTCAAGAGCAACCGACTCACGTCTCTCTATTTTCTATGTTCTTGTTTTTTTTTTTGAATATTTATATATTCGTGTGTGCAGTCTATTTGCAGCTGTTCGCGGGTTCGGGACAACTGTCGGACGACGCGAAGAAGGCTCCGCAGAACTCCAATGCCCTGTGGCAGATCGAACTGGACAGGCCCAACCGAGGCGGCGTCGTCCAATACGAGACATTCTACAGGTACGTACTTGACATCTTTCTCTTTCATGCGTGTGTCGTGTGTGTCGTGTGTCATCATACAACACTCTTTCTTGTACTTATATATATCTGTTTACCACAAGATTCAAACACATCGCGACCGGTCACTATTTGGCGGCGTATCCCAAGCCGAAGGAGAAGAACGCGAGTCCCATCTCCCTACGCCGGAGGGACAAGGACGACAGCGGCGCGGGTGGAATGCTGAAGCTGAACGTCCCGCAGCTCAAGCGGCGCATGGGACTGAGGTACCGCCACATTATGCCGGCTTCCCTCTACCAGGCATCAGCGCGTGTAGTGCTGATCCGCTGTGCGTATGGTATGGTGTACACCGCAGCCTGGGCAGCGCTAGTGACGAAGAGGAAGAGGAGCTGGTCGAGTGCACATTTACCACTGTCAAGGAATTCAGCAACTCGGCCACGCTCTTCACCGTTCATCCACTGGGCGCCACCATTGTACGCGGCCAAAGGCCCAGCTTACTCTTGGCCATGTGAGCACCGCGCCCAATATATTGCTAACACTGCACGCGACCTGGGTTCGGCCGTACAGGATACGGATAAGCGGGTCAAGCTGGAATCGTACATGCGCATTCGTCATGTCAACACCAAGTGCTACCTGCACGCCTGCAAAGAAGCACAGGAGAAGAACAGGATGAAGGTTCGTCTCTCCTTAATTATCATCGCCATTGTTTTATTTTTCGAATTCTGGCTTGAACTCAACCCTGTACTCTTGACTGTGAATAACAGTTGATCGGTCGCGAGGAGCGCCTCGACGAGGACGCCTTTGCGGTGGTGCCTGCCTCGCGCGAGGAGATCGACAACCTGCTCCGCGCAGTGGGCCAGGTAGCCATCCTGAAGCAGTGTGTGGCCAAGGTACTCCCGTGATCCACTCACTCATTCTTCGATTGGGTTGCAACCTAGCGCGTTGGGCGCTCACCACGGCCGCAATCGCCCGCACGCACAGTTGGCGCAGGGCGAGAAGATGGACTTCACCAAGACCGGGCTCACGGTCTCGAAGGGCATTCTGGCCATGGACACCAAGCGAGTCATCGGCGTGCTCAAGGACCTCATCATCTCGTGCACCATTTCCTCGACCGGCGATGATGACGTGCTGTCGCGCGAGGGCATTCCCATTCCAGCCAATCAGGACCTGCTCCGCGAACAACACGTACCTCTATCTGTCCTTGGCTCTTCCATTAGTGCTGATCACCGTCAACTGACCACACGTTGTTGTTGTTCGTTGGGCTCCATAGGTGATTGCGATCATGATGAACCTGCTGCAGCAGACCTTCAGCCAGAAGGCCATCCAGCGCAAGGCCTACGAGCGGGCGGAGAACTACACCCTCTTCATCATCGCCCAGCACGCCTACAAGCTGCTCAAGCAGATCCTCAAGAAGAATCCCACCAACCGCATGGCCATGAGCAAATACGTCAACTACTTCCAGAAGCGGGTACACCACCATTTCTGTCGCGTGTGCGTGTGCGTGTCGCATCACGCAGGGGCTGACGTGTGCGATGTCGCGTGGCCAGATGACGTTCCCTCCCTGCACGGACACGTTGATGGAGCTGTTCCGCGACAACTACAATCTGCTGAAGAACATCGCCGACGACCAGGTGCTGTTCTTCATCTTCCGTCTCCGTAACACGGGCCGCAAGTCGAGCTACATCAAGTTCCTGTCCATCCTGTGTCGCTGCGGCGACGAACCCCTCACGAAGAACCAGAACTTCATCTGCGAGCGGCTCATCGTCGAGAACCACGACCTGCTCATCAGCATCAAGGTAACACGACACGACACGACACGACACGACACGACACGACACGACACGACACGACACGACACGACACGACACGACACGACACGACACGACACGACACGACACGACACGACCACGACACGACACGACACGACACGACACGACACGACACGACCAACGACACACAACTCATTATACCCGATCGCGAATGGCAGATGATCGAAGAGACGGGCGAGGTCATGGTGCAGCCTTCCAGCCGCGAACCGTGGACGCCCATCGAGGAGTTCATGAACGAGGGCGAGAAGCGCGACGACAAGCAGATCTACTTATCAGGACCATCAAGCTGCTGTCCAACCTCTGCCTGGTACGTACCATTGACCCTCCGCTCCCCCCCTTCATTCGGTGGCCTCGGCGCGTGCACCGGTTAACGCGCGTAACTGTCGACTGTGTTGCAGGGCCGAAACAGCTTCGCGAGCACCAAGATCTCGCGGGTGATGACCTACCCGCTGGTGCTGCGGTGCATGACCAACCCGGACCTGCCCTTCACGCTGCGCGCCTCGTTCTGCCTGCTGATGCAGCACCTCTACGTGGACGTGGAGCCCTACAAGGCGATCACGCTCGTCAACTACACGCGGGTGTGGTCCGACCTCGAGCACAAGCCGCAGCTGGGCGGGTTCGAGGACGCGAGCACGCGCGACTCGCGCCAGGCCCGATCCGACCTGTGCAAGTACGTGGGCTACTACATCGCCGACAACTACGCCCAGTCGGTCAACGCCATCACCCACAATAAGCTGACGCTCGCGGTACCACCACTTCACTACTTCGGTGCCCCGCGCAACCCTTTCTGATTTCTCGAGTTCGTTTCACTCGCAAACAGATGGTGGTGCTCATGAAGCGGATGTTCGAGCTTGGGTTCTGGATGCAGTCGGAAGACACGCTGCGGGACCTCATCGTCTCCATTCTCGCTCTCCTCGATCCCTCCACCGAAGTTTCCGGTACCGATTGTCCTCGTATCAGCATTCCCCAACATTCTTGAACCGTATTTTGCTAATGTCACTACAGAGGGCGAACAGAACCCGCTGTTCAAGCAGGACGATCGCACCATCTGGATCATGAAGACCAAGTACAACCTGTGCTCGCTCATGGACATGTTCTTCAATCTGCGCCTCGACCGCCGCTTGACCGAGCTGCTGATCATCCTGCGCAAGCACATGGATGGTATGCAGTCGCACGCACACATCCCTGATTGGGCAATGCTTAAGCAATATATCATATGTGTCGACAGGATCAGGGGTCCCGACCGATCTTACCAAGATCAGCAAGGCCACCGAGGAAAAGATCGACGAGGCCTCCAAGGTACTGATTGACTCTTTTTCTCTTTTTTCCCCCAATTTCTTTTCCTTTTCATCTTTTTATTGGGTACTGGTGGCTCACGCGTGTGGTGCAGGTTTGGAGTGATTTCCTGGGCGAGTCGGAGCGGGGCGGCCAGCAGTCCGACATTCTGGAGCGGACCCTGCGGTACATGGTCATGTGCGACTACACTCCACTCTCGCTGGCTGCCGGCAACCTGCTCGTGCGCCAATTCAGGTGCGCACCACCCCTTGGACGGAAACCTATCGCGTTGTGGGTGATGTGTATGTGATTCTGACTAACACATGAACGCCAACAGCCAACGCTTCGAGCTGCTCACGGAGCTGCAGCAAGTGCAGATCCTGGTGACTGACAAGAACGTCAAGACATTCCAATTCGTACGTTTTCGACACAGCACAGCATCGATCTGGGGGGCCTTTGCATGTCGCTTACGACTCGGGGCCATGTTTGCGCTACAGGTGGCGCAAAAAATGGATGACCTCAAATCCTTCCTGGAGAAGAACGGGTCGGATTCGCTGATCGTGCCCATCATCAACAAGTTCGCGAGGCTCTGCGTCAAGGGCAACAACGTGAACGTGCACAACCAGCGCATCTTGAAGAACTTGGAGGCGCACAAGGTGGCCATCGAGCTGCTTCACCTGCCCTTCAACAAGCCCCTCTTCTTCTCCGTCTTCCAGTTCCTCGCCGCGGTACCGCTTTTTCCCTGCCTCTCTGCGCGCTGATCTCTGGAATCATCGATGAATGTGTGCGTTGTCTCGTCTACTAACAACATTGGTCTTGGCCCGACCGTTGGTGTCACAACCAGTTCTGCAAAGACAACGCGGACAACCAGAGCGCCCTGTTCGAGTACCTGGATTTCTTCCTGAAGATGATGGGCAAGGTATGCATCGAGCCAGCCAACACACGAGAGCCGGTCTCGCTTCACGTTGGTTGGATGATGGTTGCAGCTTCAGCTGACCTGGTGCCAACAGGACCTCTACGTGGCGGTGACGATCAACGAGATGTTCCACAACAACCGCGCGCTCTGCTCGCAGATCACCGAAGTCCAGATCCGCAAGATCGTCAACGCCATCGAAACCAACAAACTGCCCCGATACATACAAGTCCTCATGGTACAGTCCCCCTGCCCCGCCCACCTGAGACTGAGGCCACAGCCCGCACGTTTCACTTGCTGACAACTAACTGCTTGATTTATTTTTATCGATATAATATGCAGACGTTGATCATACCGAACGACATTCCGCTACGCAGGAATCAGAACCTGGTGCTCAAGATGCTGATGGAGAAGCAGCAGACTACGTTGGTGCTCTTCAACGATCCGGAGAGCATCGAATACAGGTGAGCGAAGCCGCCTTCAGCCGATCTCTCTCTCTCTCTTTCGTGTTGTGTGCCACGTGTGTCGTGTGTCGTGTGTCGTGTGTCGTGTGTCGTGTGTCGTGTGCTCGTGTCTTTAACATTGATCCTCGGCCAACAGGAATTCGTTGATCAAGAAGAGAAACTACGAGAAGGAGGACTCCATGCTCAAGTTCCACTGCATGCAGATCGAACTGATCACCAAGTGCTCGCTGGGCAAGATCTACGAGGTACGCATGGCAATGCGGTGCAGTGGCGTTTTTTGTGTGTTGTCGTTGACCAATTCTCACTTGTCCATGTAATGAAGGCGGAGGTCCGTTGCCAGTCGCTCTACTCCATGGGCCAGATCAAGCGCCAGCTGACCGACCCTGTAAACCTGCGGAGCATCAAGAAAACGTTCACCAATTTCCTGGAGGAGGTACTACTCATCACTTGTGTTGTTCTTATTTATTCGTATATTCTTGTATTATTCTTTTTTTCTTGAATCTTATTTATTTGTATATGTTTATTTTTTATTGTTAAGTTTTATTTTCCTCAATTTTCTCTTTGCGCAGGTGTACTTCCTCACTCAGAAGCCCAAGAACGCGATCGAGCTGGACCCTCAGCTGTGGACGATCTTCTCTGAGCACTACACCAAGGAGTTCATCGACCTCACCAACCTGCTCAACCAAGGGTACCTCACATCGAGGCACCTTCTTGGTTGCCATTCCCTACACTCCTGTGCGCCAGTCGAGCTGATGGGGTTTCTCCCTGTTACCGTAGAGAGCGTGATGAAGATGTGCTCGACTACGTAGTGACCGGCATCATCCCGTTCCTTGTGAACTACTTTGGCAAGTACTACAACCGCAAGGACGCCACCATGTACGCTTCACCAACGCACGCAACACGCAACGCGCACCACCGGCACACCACGACAAGCGTGTCCGGCTGACTGTCAGTGGCTCTCTCCCTCACCAGACGCCACAAAGTGGTGGCGGACTACATGGTGGACGGCCTCACACAGCTCTTCTACGCCAAGGGACTGACCCACGCTCAGCGTGTGGAGGTGGGCAAGTGTATCGACGCCATGAACCGACCCGAGGTCAACATTCGCGGCACCGATCCTGAGAAGGTGCGACACACGACCAACGACACGACGCGGCACACGACACGACACGACACACATAACAGACACGACACGACACACATAACACACACGACACCCGAACTGATTCTGAATGTGTCGACCATGTACCAGACGGACAAGGCCTCCAAGGAGTGGCGCGTGCTCATTGAATCGCCTCCGGAGAAGGAGACCAAGGTGTCTGTCGTTGCGGTCGACACATCGCAGGAGGAGAAGGTCATCCAAGGCATCCAGCAGTTCGTCAAGTATTTGTACGTTAGCGCTTCTCTTTCTCTGATTTTATTTTCTTTCTCTGCTTTTCAATTTCTTACTTGTCGGCTCACTGACCCATGTCGGCGTGCACAGCAAGGAGAAGAAGATATTCGGCATCGAACAGGAGCTGCAGAACTTGGCGCAGATCTTCCGCAAGCACCTCGACACCTTCACCAAGAAGCTCATTGAGCTGCTCAAGTGAGTGTATCCTTAGGCCGTGGGCGCACCTCTGTTTACTCACACGTGAGAATGAACATGCGATCACACACCACACCACACCACACCACACCACACCACACCACACCACACCACACGCAGGAACTGTGATTCGGGCACGCAGCAGGAGCTGACCTGGGTGACGCTACGCACGCTCAACATTCTGCTGGAAAAGCCGCTCGCGGACGCGCTCAAGTCCAAGAACAAGGACGTGCAGTCGTTGGTCAACATGCAGAACAAGCTCAACAATATGGGCGCCACCAATCTGGTACGTACAACACTCACACACACACACACACACACACAAACAACACGACACACACACGACTCACGGTATGACACGATGCTGACTTTTGTGTGTGTGACAGATTCTCCACTTGATATCATCGTCGCAAAATGAAGACCGAGTGTACCACCAGGCTCTGAAGCTGGGTATCGCCATTCTGCACGGCGGTAACGAAGAGGTGCAGCGGTACATGCTCCAGTGCTTCATCAACGGGCAGGAGGAGGGCTTCTTCCCCGAGATCCGCTCCCGCATCCGGCGATCCATCATCGAAATCAAAGGTACGGCACGCAACACGACACCACCATGAGACACACATACACGACGCGACACGCATGACACACGACCTTCATTGCTGCACGTTATCAGAAAAGCAGCAGTTCTACTTCCGGCTGCTCGAGCGGAAGCGGGCACAGGAGCACCAGAGGACCGAAGCCAACGCCATCCTCTTCAGGAACGACAAGTTTGGGTACGTCGTCGGAAGAGGCCCTGTGTTGCGTGCGATGATCGTGTCTCACCATCGTCATCATCGTGTCATCGTGGCGGTGGTGCAGGACCGGTATCGACAACGAGCTGTTGGCCTACCTCAAGCAAACCGAGGGCTCCTACCCCGAGAGTGGTTTCATCCGTAAAATCCTCCGATTCCTGCAGCTCCTCTGCGAAGGCCACAACCTCGAGATGCAGGTACTTCTCTTTTCATCATTTATTATTTATTTATGTGATTATAAATTCTCTTTATAATTTAACTTTGTTTTTCACCAAAAATACAGAACTACCTGCGGTACCAGACGGAGACGAGCAGCGAGTCATACGATTTGATTTCGGAGACGGCGGCCTACCTGGAGGCCGTGGAGCGCGAGATCGATGCCACCAACATCAAGATCGCCACCCAGCTCTTCACCTCGCTCACCGAATACTGTCAGGGTACATACGGCCCTGACTTAGACTTAGCTTTCCCACAACGCTGTGTGGCGCTGGTGTCCTGACCTGTCGAGCGGTTGTTGTGTGCTACCTTAAGGTCCGTGCGCCGAGAATCAGGTGGCGCTGATGCGCACCAAGCTCGTCGAGTCCGCCAACTGGGTGCTGGCGCTTCCGGTGACTTCCACCTCAGCCCCACGCGCCGCTTAGCATGTACTGATCTACTGTTGTGCGCGATGGACGCAGGACGACCACCCGCTGTGCCACAGCAAGGACGTGAACAAGCTCAAGAAGGAAGCCGTCGTCACGCTCCTGTCTCTGCTCGAGGGCAACCAGAACCCGAAGGTCCCGCGCCAGATGCTCATGACCCTCAACTTCCACGTCATGGTACTTTCTCGATTTTACACCTTCTCTTTAACTCCAACGCAGCTTCTCCGCGCGCTGTTTTTATTGTAATAATAATAATTATTATTATTATTTAACTCTATGTGCACACCGCGACTTCGACGAATAACAGGAGAAGACGCTGGACACGATCTTCCCGGTCAAGATCACGCAGCAGAATCTGTCGACAGTGGACGAGGAGGCCAAGGACGTCAAACGGGCCTTCCTGTACTATTTCCTCATCAAGACCCTGGCCGACCACGACAAGGACAACCACAAACACGTGCGTGTGGTCTTTCCCCTACTTCGTTCGTAGCGAAAGCCTGTGCACTCACTCGGTCGTGTGCGGTCGTGTGTGTCGTGTGTCGTGTGTCGTGTGTGCCGTGTGCGCAGCTGAACCGGCTGCTGGAGGGATGCAACGGTGCGTTGGCCCTTCGCAAGGGCACGGCCTCGATCGAGGTCGTGCGGGACAACAAGCTGGAGCGCATCTATTTCCAGCGGCCCCGCATCTGCAAGCAACTCTCGCCCATGTCCAAGAAGAATCTGCTTCACAACGTCAACAGGTGCCCACTCCCTATCCGCGCATCTGTGGTCGTGTGTGTCGTGTGTGTCGTGTGTGTCGTGTGTGTCGTGTGTGTCGTGTGTGTCGTGTGTCGTGTCGTGGTGCTCACCTGTCGTGTGTCGGCTGCTGGCCACAGAGAGAACCAGGCGAGCAAGATCGAGGACTTTTTCGACCAAAACGATGGTCTCATCCAGGAGATGATGCACCGCGACAGCCTCGCCGACAACCTGTTCCTCAACAACCTATCGCAGGGCGAGACCTTCCTCAAGAACCTGTCCTTCGCCTTCACCATCATCATCAACCTGCTCATCGTCTGGTGCGGCTCGCTCAACCCGTGTCTCTCTTGCGTTATTATTATTTATTTATTTATTTATGACTTTTCTTGTTCTGATTCTTATTATTCCTTCTTATTGCCTGTCTTCTGCTTATGATTACCTTGGTCGGCGCAGGTCGTTCACGGCGCCCAAGCTCGTGGTGGACGATGAAACGGAGGAGGGCGCAGTCGTACACATCGACGTCCAACACCCCACCGTCGAGCCCATAATCTCGGCCCTCCTGACGCTCTTTGGCGTGTGCCAAATAGGTGTGTTGCCTCCTCCCCCTCACCATTCCTCCTGTCGCACTCACGAGCCAACACCGCACACGCACCAACACACGCACACACACACGCACACACCACACACACCACACCACACACACAACACACGACATGACACACACCACCGCGTTCTCTTTTGCGGTCTCGCAGGGCTCGCGGCGATTCTGCTGTTCATCGAGTACGAGTTCGGGTTCCGCCTCGCCTGGAAGCAGGCCGTGGCGCACCGCAAGAACCGCAAGGAGAAGGACAACGGCACCGACAACCACGAGGACAACCGCCAATCGGCCAAATGGTGGCGCGGCCTCGACCTGCCCCAACTATGGTAACTCCCCCACCACCACCACATAAACCGCCACCTTAGCCATGCGCCACCTTAACTGAACTGATGTCGTGGGGGCGACAGGTCGGCGGCGATGAAGTCGGCAATTTTCTACTTCCTGGCCTACCTGGTGTTCGCGGTGTGCGGCGTGGTGATCTCGCCGTTCTTCTTTGCCTTCCACCTGCTCGACATCGGCGCGCGGAGCAAGGAGCTCAAGTATGTCATCTCGTCCGTCACCCAGAACGGCAAGTCCATCATCCTCACCGTACGTCGCTCCGCACACGCACACGCACACGCGTGAGGCACAGAGCACACGCACACGCACACGCACCATCGACACTGACCGTAACAACCTGTTTTCCTCTCGCGCAGGCGATCTTGGCGTTGATCGTGATCTACATCTACACGATCTTCGGCTTCCTCTTCTTCCGGGACAAGTTCGTGCAGGACGACGTCTTTATCTGCGAGTCCATGCTCATGTGCTTCGTCAACGTCGTCAACTACGGGTCCGTCAATTCCTCACATTATTTGATTTGCAATACAAATTTTATTTTTATTTTTATTGCTATTGTATTATTTTGTATTAGAATGCTGATTTATTTTATCAATTTATCATTTTTTTTTCTGGCAGGCTGAGGAGCGGAGGAGGTGTGGGCGATCTGCTGAAGCCGCCGCTGTGGGGCGACCCGGAGACGCCCTACCGCATCCTCTACGACTCGACCTTCTTCTTCGTCGTCATCGTCATCCTCCTCAACATCATCTTCGGTATCATCATCGATACCTTCGGTGGTACGCGTCCCTTCCTCCTCGCGCCCTTTTCCACTAAATTTATTTTTTATTTATTGAATTATTGAATTATATATTATTTATTTATTGAATTATATATTTAACTGTTGCTGACGCTCAACTCGCAGAGCTGCGTAACCGGGAGGAAACGATCGAGTCGGACATCAAGAACAACTGCTTTATCTGCGGCATCGATAACATCACCTTTGACCGCGCCTCCGAAGGTAATCCTACGGCCCACACCAATCAATCACTACTTTATCGATATCCATCCACAACGTCCTTCGTATTGCTCTATTCTTTTCTTGTTGTTCATAACCTCCTCTGTGTCGTGTCGCGTCGCGTCGCGTCGTGCGCAGCCGGATTCGAGAAGCACTGGAAGTATGATCACAACATGTGGAACTACCTGTACTTCCGCGTGCACCTCAACATCAAGGACTCCACCGAGTATACCGGACCCGAGCAGTACATCGCCGAAAAGGTGCGCGCGCGTGTGTGCGGTCGTGTGTGCGATGCGTTGGTCTCACTCGTGTGTCGTGTCGTTGTGGTCGTGTGTCGTGTGTCGTGTGTCGTGTGTCGTGTGTCGTGTGTCGTGTGTCGTGTGTCGTGTCGTGCGCACACAGCTGGAGGTGAACGACCTGTCGTTCATCCCCAACCAGAAGGCGATGTGCCTCGGAGCCAAGCAGGAGGAGGACGAGGAGAAGGCGCAGGAGCTGATCCTGCGGGTGGAGACCATGTCGTCGGCCCTCCAGAAGACGACGGACGAGACCGTCTCGCGGCTGGGCGAGTCGATGGAGAAGCGCTACAACACGCTCAACGCGTCGCTCATCGAACTCGCGGCCAACACGTCGAGCCGCTCGACCGCCATCGAGACCAAGCTCGAGGGGCGCGTCGAGAACGTCGAGAAGCACATCTCCGCGCTCGAGAAGAAGCTCACCACCTATCTCGATGTACGCCCACACGACACACGCACGACACGCACCACCGCACACACGCACACACGCACCACCGCACACGCAACACTCACACGAAACACAACACGCACGACCGACAGAATATCGAGAAGGCGATCAAGAAGGAGGAGAAGCGGCACAAGAAGGCGAGCAAGGAGAAGGAGGAGCGCAAGAAGAAGCGCGAGAAGCAGCTAAAGGAGAAGGAGAAGGAGAAGCGGCGGCGCGAGGACGAACGGCGCCAGGCCGAGCAGGACCGCGCGGCTCAGAAGCGGCGCGAGAAGGAGGCCCGCCGGCGCGCCAAGGCCGCCGACCTCCTCCGGCTCCAGCTCCAGCAGTCCCAGCCCGTGTCGACAGACACCAACGAAGCCCAGGCCCTGGTGGCCGAGCGAGAGCGACTGTTGCGGCTGGCCGCCGAGGAGGAGGCGAAGGCGGCCGAGGCCGAGGCCGAGGCGCAGGCCAAGAAGAGGGCCGCGGCTGAGGCTGAGGCGGCGGCGGTAGCAGCTGCAGCGAAGGAGGCGGAGGAAAGGGAACAGGCCGCGGCGGCGGCGGCGGCGGCTGCGAAGAAGGCCGAGACCGAGATGGAGGAGAAGCGGAAGAGGAAGGCGGCCGAGGAGGAGGAGGAGGAACGGGCGAAGGCCGAGGCGCAGGCCAAGCAGGCGACTGCGGCGGCGGCGCAGAAGAAGGCGGCAGCGGCGACAAAGAAGAAGCCGAGCCTGCTAAAGAAGAACAGTGACAGCGAGAGCGACACGGAGAGCTCCGATGGCTGGGACAGCGACAGCGACAGTGACAGCGATGACGACGACAAGAAGTCGAAGAAGAAGCCGCAGGCGACTGCCAAGCCGCTGCCGGCGTCCGCGGCGAAGCAGCCCGGCGAGCAGGCCAAGGTCCTCGAGGCAGCAACAGCTGCTGCTGCGCAGGCGGCGGCCGAAGAGGCGAAGGCCGCGGCGGAGGCTGTGGCGGCGGCGGCGGCGGAGGAGGAGAAGAGGCGGGCCGAGGAAGCGGCGCTGTCTCAGTCGATGGTGCCCACGATCGTGATCGACGCGCCCAAGGAAAAGGAGGAGGCGGAGGAGCTGAAGCCGACGGCGGTGGAGCCCACGGCAGCGAAGAAGAAGCCGAGCCTGGTGAAGAAGAACAGCGACAGCGAAAGCGACACGGAGAGCTCCGATGGTTGGGACAGCGACAGCGACAGCGATGGCAAGAAGAAGAAGAAGCTGCAGGCGAAGAAGCCACAGGAGGGCGCCCAGGCCGAAGACGAGAAGCCCGCCGCCGTAGCCGCGCCGCAGCCCCAAGCCGAGCCCGCAACGCCAGCCGCCGCGGTCGAACCTCAGCAGAAGGCGGAGGTGGTGGTGGACCAGAAGGCGGAGCAGCCAGCCGCTGCGTCCGCCGACGCGGCGCCGGCGGTGGTGTCACCCGAGCCCGTCGCGCAGACCGCGGAGCCTGCTGCTGAGCCCGCCCAGGCAACGGAGGCACCAGCGCCGAAGAAGACGGCGCCGGCGGCGAAGAAGAAGCCGAGCCTGGTGAAGAAGAACAGCGACAGCGAAAGCGACACGGAGAGCTCGGACGACTGGGACAGCGACAGCGACGACGAGAAGAAGAACAAGAAGGCGAAGCCCGGCAAGAAGCCCGTCGACACCGCCAAGTTGACTGCCATCGCCGACGCTGTGGTAGCCGCCCCGCAGACCGCTGAGCCCGCGCCCTCTGCCGTGGCTGTGGCGGCGCCGCAGCCCGAGGTGAAGAATGCCGAGGAGAAGGAAGTGGTGGTGGAGGCCGCGGTCGACGAAGTGAAGCCACCGGTGGCGGAGGTGAAGGAGGCCGAGGCGATCGAGAAGGTCGCGGAGGCCATCGCGCCGAAGCCGGCGAAGGCCGAGGTGTCTACTGAGGCCGCGGCCGTGGCGGGGAAGAAGACTCCGGCGAAGAAGAAGCCGGGGCTGGCGAAGAAGAACAGCGACAGCGAGAGCGACACGGAGAGCTCGGACGGCTGGGACAGCGACAGCGACAGCGACAGCGACGACGAGAGGAAGAACAAGAACAAGAAGTCGAAGCCCGCCGTCGTGGTGGCCCCAAGCAGCCCGAGCCCCAGCCTGAGCCCAAGCCCGAGCCCGCTCCGACTCTGGCCGTCCCCGAGCCGCAGCCCGAAGCCAGGAAGCCCGAGGAGATCAGCCCCAAGGAGGCGGAGACGACCGGGACACCGGCCGAGGAAGAGGCGGTGGCGGCTGCCAAGAAGAAGAAGAAGGACGACGACGAGGAGGAGGAGGAGGCGAAGAAGAAGGAGACGAAGGAGGCCGAGGAGAAGAGGAAGAAAGAGGAGGAGCTGGCGAGGCGGAAGGCGGCGGTGAAGAAGGCGATGAAGGACAGCGATGCCAGCGAGACTGAGACCGAGACCGAGGCCAGCGAAAGTGAAAGCGACAGCGACGACAGCGACAGCGACGACAGCAGCGACGACGACAAGAAGAAGAAGAAGGGAAGCGTCGGGGCGAAGAAGAAGCCAGTCGTGGTCGTCAAGAAGGGCGGAAGCAAGGTGACGGCATCGAAGAAGAACAGCAAGAACAGCAAGAGCAACAACAAGAAGGACTCGTCGGATGATGACTCTTCTGATGATTCGTCGTCGGACGATGACGACTCGACGACGGAGGACGAGAAGCCGAAGGTGGTGGCCGCCTCGCGCCTGTCCGCGTACACCGCGTCCCAGCCCGATTTCCTGTTTTAATGTCCACTTCAATTTACTTTTATTTCTTATTATAAATACAACTATTTCCATTTATTTATCTCTGATTTATGTTTTTGTTTATCTTGTTACCGTAAATCAATTGGGAGATATGTGTGACGTGGGGAAAGTGCGTGCAACATTTCCCACCTAAAACGCTTGTGGTTGGTGCAGCGTGATTACGGCAACCAACCATCATCCACCGATCCCAGCTTGTCTTTCTTGTTCTCCTCCTTCTTCTCGCCACCAACCCAACAACACCTGAGAAGCCTTACTTCCTTGTCGCAAGAATGAAGTTCTACCCCGCCGCCCTCGTCGTCTTCCTCTTCGTCGCCGTTTCCCTCGTGGCGCCCTCGCTGGCGGCCGCCGACCGCGACATCTCCAAGCTGAGCCCCGAGCACGCCAAGGTGCTGCTGGCCCTGCTCCAGCACCGCGTCGACAAGGTCGCGGCGGGCACGTCGCCGGCCGAGTCGATCCGTTCGTTCTTCGAGCCGTCGCCGCGAGACCACTGCTGCCTGGTGTGGGACAACCTCAAGTGCGCGGCGTCGATCCTGCAGTGCGTGAACACCTGCGAGACGGGCCTGCAGCCGTGCATCACCTGCCTCGGTCCCATGTGGGAGCAGTGCTGCTGCTGCCTGGACAACGCCGGCATCCACGGCCTCCCCTGTCCCTCCTGCTGCAAATAATTATTTATTTTTGCCAATAAATTGTATTTTAATCAAAGCAATTCTTTTATTTGCCTTTCCATTATTTTTACTCCAGTTATTACCAATCGTCTTCTCTACAACGGTACGGCACAGCGTAGACGTGGGCGCCCCTCGAGTGCTGAACAAGCTGCTGGAAAAAAAAGATGAAGCAAAAGATGAGCACCAAAGGCAAAAGTCTGCTGTTGGTGTTGGCTCGCCACACGTCACGAGGCGACCATCGGGGAATCGAATTTTTGTCTGTCTTCTCCGCACGTTGCAGTCAAAATTTGCGGAATGTCGGGTCATTTTCACTGCACATAATTCGACTATCCTTTTTAGCCCCGCAAGTGCCTAGAAAAATCCGAGCAGCGAATCTGGCTTTTTTGAGGGTACTGGACTGAGGCTCAGGGTCGGGGCGCTCCGTTATTCGTTCAGCACACCCTCAAGCCCCGCGCCGATGGAAGCCAGCCGCCCCAAAGGAAACGTCTCGAACCGAGGCAGCCCCACCAGGGTCGCTGCGGCCGCCGCCAACGGTAAAACGACGACGCCCGTTCGGGCCAAGTCACCACCCGCGACCACCCTCGACCCCCTCCTACACACCACCTCCAATGGAAAAACCAACAACAACAAACGTACGGACATCTACACCTCTAACTACACTGACCTTCGTAGGATTTTTGTTTTAACCACCCTGAGGCCTGGATGGACTGGGGGCATGAGCTACAATTTTCCCATCATCAAGCGAGCCAACCCTGGTGACCCACACCAGCCTTGCGGCAACCAGCCCAGTAAAAAGGGCTGGAGGGATCCCGCTCCACGACCCCGGTGGAAAAAACTGCGAACCAAAAAAGAAATTAACTGCAAAAAATCGTTTGACGGAAAAAGGTCCTGGACGTCGACAGAAATTCCTGACGCCAGCCAACCAGGCCGCGCTCTGCCTGACCTGCCACGCCATGTCATGCGCTATTTATGTGTATTTTATCTGTACCTTATACTTTATTTATGCTTTCCTGGTTTCGGATAATAACCTAAACATGCTAATTCACGACATTTGTGTGGGTACAAAAAATGTAGAGCGAAAGTCATGCGAGCCCGGCAAGTGCGAGCTGCACGACATTGCCGACTGCGAGTGGTGCGCCCTGGGGGTCAAGAACCGGTCGATGTACGGCCGGCTGTGGCCCTACGCCGAGCACCCGGTCACTCGCGAGCACTACTGCCTGGAGCCCGTCGAGAGCCCCACCGGCGGCAAGTTCCCGTGCTGCTCGTTTCGGCGCGAGAAGCCCATCAAGACCAGCCAGGGCTACGCCGGCCACCTGGCCTCGCACCGGGCCCACATCCAGGGCTCCACCAACACCATCAACGGCGTCGGCGTCGCCCCGGTGCTGATGGTAACCAGCAATGGCGGCTCAGGCGGCGGCTCGGCGGCGGCGAGCCCATCGAGCAACGGCGACCAGGCGCTGGGGAAGAAGCGCAAGAGGGAGTCGACGCTGACGGGGTCGCACGAGACGGTGGCGACGTCGACAATGTCGACTACGGTGTCTACGACAAGTTCTAGCAGCGGCGGCGGTGGTAAGGTGATGCCGCAGTTCGTGGCGAGCCTGCAGCCGAGCCTGCCGCGATGTGACCTGGAGGCCGGCCAGCTGCGGTTCATCCTGCTCCCGCAGGACAGCGAAGCCGCCGCGATCGACGTGGTCTTCAAGGTACCAGTTGGGCCTCCAGCTGAGTACCCGACTTGCCATCGGCTAACACCCGACACGACACGACACTGTGCAGGGGCATCGTGGTAAGTTGAATAAGCGTGCGGCGAAGGACGCGGACGGCTTTTTCGTGATCGCGTGTCCGCTCATCCACGAGCTGCTCCCGCCCAACGACACCCGCACCACGTTCGAGGTCTCGGTGCGCGTCGAGGACCCGGCCACCCACCGCCGCCTCTTCCAGTCCTCGCTCCTCTTCACCCACCACCACGGTACTACCTCGTTTTCGTCCCTCTCAGGCACGACTCGACTCGAGCCCCGCATTGTGCGCTGACCAAAACGTTTTGGTGTCGACTATAGCAGCGGCCCAGGCGAGCGCGGCGCCGCGGGCGGAGAGCGTGCTGGCGGGCGGCAGCGCGCCACGGCCGTCGGCGCGGGCGAGCGCCAACGAAGAAGAGGACTACGACGAGGCAGAGGAAGGAGAAGAGGAAGAAAAGGAAGAAGAAATGATGAACTACGGTTCGGTCGACAACAAAGAAGAGGATGGCGACAGCGAACCGGCGGGAGAAGAGGAGACGAAGAACGAAGACGAGAAGACGAAAACGACGAAGAAGGAAAAGAGGAGGAAAATCGAAGACAAAAAGAGCGGCGGCGAGGAGGTGCAACAGGAAAAGAAGGAGGAAACTGCGGGAGCGGAGGGGGAGGCTGAAGAGGCCAGCGAGAGTCAGACGATGGAACTCGAGATCGCCGAGGAGAACGAAGACGAGGAGGAGAACGACGCGGAAGCGAACGCCAAGAACGAAGGCGAAGCAAACGGCGAAGATCAGAAAGAACGAAGACGATTCGAGGAAGCAACACCAGCCCAAAAGAAGAAGGAAGAGGCTGACGACGACGACAAGAAGAGGGCGACGCAGCAGAGCGCCGAGCTCCGACCGGACGTGACTGTCAAGATCGAGAAGGTGGGCGAGACCGCAGCCGACGAGAAGATCGGCCACCAGCAACAGCGCGAGCTGCCCGACCTGCTCACGCAGTTGGCCGAGGTCGCTGCGGCCGAGTCGCATAGCAACGTCGCGTCCGCCGCCGTGGCCAGGCCCGCGCCCAGTGCTGGCCCCGGCAAAGCCAACGGCCACGGCCACGGCCACGGCGCCGTTGTCGAGAGGCCGACCATGGCTGAGGCCCTCCACGCGATGCCCATGAACACCGTCACGTCGCTGCTGCCCTGGGCCCACATGGCCGCCGCGGCCGCCGGCGGTCACCCGCTGCCGCCCCACTTTGCGCTGCCCGACTGCTACGCACTTACGCCGGCGGCTGCAGCTGCGGCGGCCGCGGCCATCGCCGCCGACCCGCACACCGCGGCCCTCATGCTGCCGGGCCTGTTCCAGTCCTACTACGGGCCGGGCGGGCCGCTCCCCTTGAGCGCGCTGCTGCCTCCGATGCCGCACGCGACCCACCTGCCGTTGCCGCCGCCCACGCGGCCGCTCGCCCCCACGCCGGCCTCGATGATGACGTCAGCATCGCCATCATCGTCAGCAGTGCCGACCTCGTCGACGTCAGCCATGTCGCCATCGCTGACGGCCATCAAGGCCAAGGCGCCTTCATCGCCGCCGACGACGACGAGTGGTGGTGGCCCCGCGACTACCACGTCACCACGCTCGGCTGTGTCGACAACACCAACCACGCCGACGATGTCGACTGCGACAACGGCGGCGCAGAAGCCGCTCCGGGGTCCGCTTGCGCCGATGGCGCAAATGATGACGTCGATCCCGCCGCCCAAGCCCGCCGTCAAGCCCGGCCCACCGCCGCTCGCGATCCAGCCCAGCGGCAGCGGCTCGACAACGCCCCCGGCGGCGGCCGGCACAGCCGCGTCGACGTCGGCCTCATCGGCGCCATCGCCGACGATGGCGTCGCGGCCACTGCAGACCTTGGTCGCGGCCGCCGGGCGGCCGTCGGGCGTCGGCGCCGCCACCGCGGGGCGCGAGACCTGTCGCTACTACTTCTACACCGTCCTGCCGGAGAAGGGCAAGCTCATCTGGGTCGTCTTCTTCAGCAGCCGCCGGCACGCGCTCGACCAGTACGAGCTCCTCCTCCACGAAGTCGCCTCGCCCCTCTCGGCCTCTTCCGCGTCGTTGTCATCGTCATCGTCGTCAATCGAGCGACTGACCAGCAGCAGCGGCGGCCTCTCGCTCTCGTCGTCGGCCTCGGCCCTCGCCATGGCCATGGCCACCGAGCTCGAGCCCGACGCCGACTCACCTTCGCCGTCGTCGGCGTTCACGCCTCAGCCGCTGCCGCTTCTGTCGCCGCCGCCGCCGCCCGAGTTGCCGACGTCGGGTGGCCGGGCCAGCAGACGATCGTGCTGCCGGCGGTGCCCGATCTGGCCTGGATCGCGGAGGGGGTCGACGCCCAGACCAGCCAGCGGCTCTACCAGCACAAGGTGTGCTTCCAGGCGCCCGATTCGACGTTCGAGCGGCGCATCTTTTGCGCGACGCTGCACCAGCGCGTGGAGCGGACGATGACGCTGCTCGGAGGGCTGTCGCTGGTCAGCACCACGTCGCAGCGCGAGCACATGTGGCCCCGCATCAACCAGTGGTTCGTGGGCGAGGTGCAGCAGCGGCTGGTGCACAACTGCCGGCACCACCCGCCCAGCCGCCGGCACTTCCTCAACGGCAAGGGCTCGCGCCAGGGCAGCAAGCAATCCCAGAAGGACCGGTTCCTCTTCGACGAACTCGACAAGTCGGTCGAGCTCGAGAGCGTCCCCGTCAACTCGCTCCTGCCGATCACTTAAGAGAGGCGTCACAGACGTCGGACGGCTGAGGTGGCCGGGCGCGTGCACAGACAACGCGGCGCCGCGGCCTCGGCGCACGAGGACAGCAGCGAGCGGTGGTCAAGACTTGGTCGTGTCTACGTAGACCAACGCTCGCTGCTGGTCTCGTGCGCTGAGGCCGGCACACACCTGCACCGCTCGTGGGGAAGAAGCCCGACGTCGTCGGTGACGGCCCGAGCGGCGATAGCGCCACGCGGCCACGATGACGAATCGGCGACGATTCGCACGAGCACTCTCCCTGGAGCAGGGTTCTTGTGTCTCACATTTCGCGCTCTCGGCGAGCAATGAATGAATGAAGAAGTGTAATATGTTCCACATATTGATATGTTTGGTTTTTTTATATGTTCATTCTTGTTTATACATTGCATTTCGTTTCCGGGTCATCGGGTCCCAGGAACCCGTGTCACCGGTCACAGGAGAAGGCGGAGGGGTTGGTGGCGGACCGGTGGGCCATGGCCGCCACTTGCTGGTCGGCCCGGTACCGCTGGATGTGCGGGTCGGCTCGATCGGGGATGGTGTCCACCGAGCTCCTGCTCCGTGTGATGCGTCGCTTGTTGCCCTCAGAGGGCAGTGGGTGCTGCTGCGGCGTGTCGCTCGCTGGCCGCCGCGTCGAGCTCCTCCTTCCACTTCTTGAGGCCGTGTGTCGTCGACTTCTTGCTCGGCGCGCGCTTGAGTGAGAACTTGGGCAGTTTCATCAGTGACCGTCTAATGTGTGTGGTCGTGACTTGTGCGGAGTGGTGTGGCGTTGTGTACTTGATGGAGTGTAGAATGATTGAATGGACGTGGGCGCTCTTTTATGGGCCTTCGCGTGCCATACTCACCAGGCGTTGCGTCACTGCAACCAAACCCAGGCTCGGGAGACGAAGGGAGTCCAGCAGTCTCCGCACCATCTCGCTCGCGATCTCGATTTTATTCAACATTTCTTTTATTTTAATTTGATCAGATATTAATTTCTTTGGGATTTTAGGTGGGAACTTCAAGGCAAGGAGGCGAGAAAGTCCGCGGCGAGCTGGTGCCAATCGATCACCGCCGCTGGGCCGCCGCCGACGGTCTTGGCCTGCCGCGCGACGAACTTGTGGGCCTTGCGCACCACCAGCTCCCAGTTGACCTTCTGATCGGCGAAGCGCGCCAGCAGGTAAGCGCTGGCCACGGCCGTCGCCCAGAGCACCAGAACCGCAGCCGGCGCCGACGCCGACGCGGCAGTGGCGGGGAGCGCCGCCAGCAGCTGGTCGAGCGGGATCTGCAGGAGGTCGGCCACATCGCTCGCCTCCCACGACCCGCTGGCCTTCTGCCTCGTGATAATGCTCCGCATGAGCGCCGGCGCCGGCGCCAGCGTCGGCTCCTCCGGCGCTGTCTGCTGCGGCTGCGGCTGCACAAGAGTCGAGGTCGAGCCGGCGTCGGCCTCGGTCGCTTCTTCTTCGTCTTCACCGCCGGCGTAGGCTTCGGCCTCGGCCTCCTCCTTGCACCGCTCGTCGGCGATGAAGGACCCGGAGCCACCCGGCGCGCCCTCGCCCCGCGGCGGCGATGAGACGAGGCTCTTGCGGGACCTCATCGGCGCGGCGGTGCTGCTCGCCTTCTTATTCTTCTTCAGCATCACCTTGTCCTTTGAAACGCCGCCGCCTCGGCCGCAGCCACCACTCTTGCCGAATGCGCGGGCCATGGGCGCCGCCGGTGCGCCGCCGCCGCCGTTGGCGTACTCATCGTCGCTGCCGCTCGAGTCGTACGAGAGGGCGGACATCATCGGAAGAGAGGAAGCGCTGCTGGCCATTATTGGCGCGCAGCTGCCTCGCATTTGGGGCGGACCTGGTTGGGGTCGGTCGGTCAGATCTGACACACAACACACGACACACACGACACACACGACACAACCGACACAACACGACACACGCACACGCACGGCACCTGTAGCGGGCGTGTAAACGTACCACGCAAAGCACGATGTCGCTTCTGCTCTTCGTGGCACTTCTGCGCGGCCAGCTGCCGATTTCTCTTGGCAATGTAGTCGGTCACTGAATTGTTGACCGCGCACGACACGCACGACACACACAGTCGCACACACCACCGCACACACGACACGCAGACTGTCAGAGAAAAGAAAAGAAAAGAAAAGAAGTTGATACAGGGAGAGCGAGTGCGTACTCTTTTCGAAGGTGATGGGGACCTTGCGCAGCTGCATGGAGCCCTCGGTGATCTCCTCGCGCTCCTCGACGGCCACGAACGCGGTGAGCTTGGACATGACGCCGTGCTCCACCGACAGCCGAACGGCCTCCTGCGTCACGTTCTTGCCCGGCACCACCTCGCCCTTCGGGTTGTGGAAGTAGCTACGGCACTCGGCCAGGTCCCTGTGGCGAGAATTATAGTGTAATTATGTTATAAAATAATAAATAATGGTCATTATTATTTTATTATTTAAACAATTATTATTCGAAGATAAATAAAAAGAAAATGGGGGTACCGGAGGGTGGACTTGGCGGCGAGCTTGTGGATGAGATCACCGGGTCTGGCGTCGTTGAGGTCGATCTTGGTGTTCGAGATGAAGGGCTTGTTGCCAATCTTGGCCCGCAACGTCACCTCAACTGCGCACAACACGACACACGCGACACACACACATGGACACACATGGCACACATACGACAGTGAGCTCATGGACTATAGGTACCCTGTAGGGGGGAAAAGGTACTCTGGCCGGTCTGTGGTTCGCCGTCTTGCGGGAAGGCGTAGACGACGATGCGCCCGCCGGCGAAGAGGGGCGACAGGCGGTGCGGCGACTGGCGCACTTTGAAGCCCTTCCACGTCAGGGCGAGGTTGGTCAGCGCCGGCTGCATCGCCCGGTTGAGCTGCCGCATCACCTTTTCCTCCATCGAGTCGTTCCCGTGCACGAACTCGTAGAATCCCTCCTGCAAACCGCACACACATCACCGCACACACCGCACACACCGCACACACCGCACACGCGCACACATCACCGCACACGCACACGCACGCACACGACACGCGCGGTGAGTACGGTGCATTGGAGGATTGGCAGCGAATGGCCACGCACCCCGGCGCGAGCGAGGCCCTTGACGAGCTCGGTGGAGGCCTCGCTGCCGATGCCGAACGTGAACACCCGGGTGGTGTCCGCGTGCTTGCGCACAAACTCGACGCACTCGATCGTGTTCGCCACCTGACCATCTGCGTTCGATGGCCGCCCGATCAGTCAGACTGGCGCAGCCAGGCGTGTGCGTGTGCGGTGGTGCGTGTGCGAGTGCCGACTGGGTGACAGGGTACCGGTGAGGATGAAGAGCTGGCGCGGGTAGCCGTCCTTGGGCTTGGTCTGCAGCACCTCCTTCAGCGGCTTGAGGATGTCGGTGCCGTCCAAATCCGCATTCATCAGCGCCACGTGCTTGGCTGCGATTTCCAGATTACTGTCCGATCCTCGTCTCGTCAGCACCCGCACACGCATACAACCGCACACGAACACGCACGCATCACAGCATACGCACACGACCGCACGCACACGCACACGCACACGCACACGCACACGTAACGCACACGCACAAGACACGTACGTGTCGTTGTATTCGACGCTGCCGTTCTTGAAGAGGTGCTGCGTGCGCGACCCGAAGCCGATGATGTTGAAGAAGGTGCCCGGGCCGAGGCTCCGCAGGAAGATGGCCAGCGTTTCCTTAACCTGCGCAATGCGCTGCCCGGCCATGCTGTAGGAGCGATCGACCAGGAACACCATCTCCGTGTACACGTCGTCATCGTCGCTCAGCTCAAGGTTCGGGTACAGCGATAGCATGATCGCCTTGTTGCCCTTCTCGTTCACCCCCACCCTCGTGCCCGGCCTGTCATCACGGAAATCCAAACATTCATCATCTTCCGCACACCACCACCGCAACACCGCACACACCGCATGCACACTGCACACCGCACACGCGTACACCCGACGCGACACACGACACACGACAGAAAAAGTGATGGCTGGGGGAGTACTGATGAGGTGTGGCGAGCTTGGTAAGCAGGACAAAGTCCACGGGAGGGGTGCCGGCGGGGGAAGGCTGCATGGTGACCACGCCCTGCGTGGGCTCGTCGCCGAACTCGAAAGTGATCGGGTGCGACGGCGATGACACGGTCCTGATGTTGCTGGTCATCTCTGCGCCCGCACACCACACATGCGTCAGTCACTTCGTCGTCACCGGGGTGTGCATTGAGCGCATAAGGTGCGCCGTACCGAGCTTCACGGTAAGCTTGAGTTCGGGCACAGCGAAGCTCTTTTCCTTCGGCACAAAGTACGACGGGTTGTCGTTTGTCGACGGCAGCCGCCACTGGAGCTGTGGAAAGCACGCACAAGCCACACGACACGACACGACACGACACGACACGACACGACACGACACAAACACCACACACGGCACCCACACACACACACACACACCACA